AACAAAAATATGTAAGTTGATACGCCAAGAAAATTTGAGAAAATGAAAAATCATATTATCAAGTAGTGAAAGGTTATGTAGTTCAAGCGACATTTTTGTAAAATTATAGGAGAGCCGTATAAAGTTTAAAATAAAAAAAAAAACTATTATAACAAAAAAAAAACTTTAAGTATTTCAATGGAGTAAAATTAATTGAAATTCAATTAAAAACACCGAACTGTTTATGCTAATAACAAATAAAACTTTAACACGCGACATATTATATCCTTGTAATTAAGCGAAATGTCGCTTAAACAAAATAACGTTTCAGCCCTCGTTTTTTTTATTGACCTTGTAGGCAGTCGAGGAGCATACGGTCCACCTGATGGTGAGTGGTTACCGTCGCCCATGGACTTCAGCAATGCCATGGACAGAGTCAAGCCGCTGCCTACCGTTAAGTACTCTTCACAAGCCTCGTTTGAAGAAGGACATGTCATAGCAATATTGACTTAAGCTAACATAAAATTCGTCAGTCAGAGTCCTTCATTTTGGATACCACAGAATCATTCATATAATTGCTTAGTTTTGTGGACGAGCTCACGGCCCACCTGGTGTTAAGTGGTTACCGGAGCCAATAGACATCTACAACGTAAATACCGCCATCCAAGTACGTATTTCATTAGAATAATTGGTACTTGGTATTGGCCAGCGGGATTAGAACACGGTGCATCTCTAGATATGAATGCATCCAGGGACGTCTTAAACTAGGATGGGGCCCTTGGGCACACAAGTATTTGAGGCCCTTTTGGAAAGTAAAAAAAGCGAATTATAATAACGTTTTTTTACTGAGTATGACCATTTATTATAGGTAATCAAATACAGTATGATATAATATGTCATTAATGATATTCATGTTTTTTGGTTACGATTTCGATAACGGTTTTTTTTTGGGATTTCTGTTGAGCAAAATCTTCTATTATAGGCACAGTATATGCCTTGTAATACCTTTTGATTACTGATTTCTGAAAAAAGTGTAATGTGCCCGACAAAAATGTTTTGAGAATAAACGTGTGAGAGAAATTATCGGTCTTTCGGGCCCCCCTGAGAATGGGGGCCCTGGGCACGAGCCCCGTGTGCCTTATCCTTTAGGCCACGATGACTTCGATTTAGAGTTTTTATACGCAACAATGTCTACCTTAAGCATTGTTGAGTATAATTTTTTATTTTGTTTTTATTCCTATGATTAGTTGACGATCTCACGGTCCATCTGGTGTCAACGTGGTTATTGGAGTCTATAGACTTCTTCTTCCTGTTCGTACACTCTTGACGCGACGCCATGTGGCACGATGTTTCGCAGAGTGAGAGCAATGGTTTATAGTGAGTCACCGATTTTATGAGATCGGTCCATCGTGTTGGATGGAGATCGTCCGCGAGATGTTTTGCCCTCGACTTTCCCATACACCACCAACCGCTCAATGGAGTCCTCATTACGACTGATGTGCCCGAAGAACTTGAGGATTCGTATTTGGACTGTTGACGATAGTCTCTCCTTGATGTTGAGCTCTTTCAGTAGCGAACCGTTCGTACGATGCGCGGTCCACGGAATTTTGAGGAGACGTCCAAAGACTACAACAACGTTAATACCGCCGCCCGTCCTTAGACATTCATTATAAGTCTCAGTCTGACTACAACGGTTATAAACACATGAGAATCGTTTATATACTGTTGATTTTTTCTGCATTTCGAATGTCAAAGCCATATCCGACCTTATTAGATATTCCGTCCGTATAGTCACACCGTAGAGAATAGTCAGTAACACTAAAGGTCAGTTTTCGTTGTACACACTTATTTATTTAAAATGAACGTTGAAATGTCCATTGGAATACATTACGCGACTTAAATGTCTATTCTGATTTAATTTTGCATTATAACAGTAAACTTTGTTATACGACTGAGGCAGCTCTACACAAGCTCTACTGGTAAATATTTGAACTTTAGAAAGCTTTTTAAAAGCTCTCGAGTAAATAACGTGTTTGACCGTTTATAGCGGTTGCGTAATTTTGGCTTTGCTATATCGGTTCTATTATTCGTTTGCACCGATGTAGTCGTGATCAATAGTTGTAGATAGCTGTAGATCGTGGAATCGCGACCGGCCTGTCATTGTGTTGTTACAATACCGAAAGGAATTTTCGGCTTTCAACCAAAAAAAACTTTTTTTTTATGATTGAAAGATTACTGGTGGCCCGGAGGCCTTTCCAGTTTCACCAGGACAGGTGGGCGAGCAAAGGCTCAGCCAGGAGGGGTGGGATTTGCTAACAGCTACCCGAGCGCCTCCGAAGGAGACCTAACAGCTCAAGAGCAGCTGCTTCGCGAATGAATCTACTACCGGATCGGAATCGCGACCCGCTGAGAAGNTACCCACCCGCGCGGACTCACAAGAGGTCCTACCACCAGTAATTACGCAAATTATAATTTTGCGGGTTTCATTTTTATTACACGATGTTATTCCTTCACCGTGGAAGTCAATCGTGAACATTTGTTGAGTACGTATTTCATTAGAAAAATTGGTACCCGCCTGAGATTCGAACACCGGCGCATCGCTCAACACGAATGCATCGGACGTCTTATCCGTTAGGCCACGACGACGACTGTGTGCTTGCTCGAGCGGCTATTTGCAAATCCCACTCCTCCTGGCTGAGCCTTTGCTCCCCCAGCTGTCCTGGTGAAACTAGAAAGCTTGCGGGCCACTAGTATAGATAGATATAAGTTATCATTATACATGCGTGTTTGTCTGTGTTTCAGTGGAATATTTGAAATTGTTTGTGCCATGATTGTGGTTAGACTTGAAAATTGCCATTGTAAAATACGTCACAAATAATAATATTAAGCAGTAAATGGGAGGTAAATTGTAAGGAGAAATTAGCAGAAAGGTTGTCTCTACGGCTCTACGGTTGAAAACCGAAGTGAACACTTCGATTGGCGTTTAGAATATAACTCACGATGAAATAACAGTGAAAGAGAACGCGATATTTTGAATATAAAATTAAAAAATATCTTCTTACTTGTGGTAGGGCGTTCTTGTGAGTCCGCACGGGTAGGTACCACCACCCTGCCTATTTCTGCCGCGAAGCAGTAATACGTTTCGGTTTGAAGAGTGGAGCAGCCGTTGTACCGTAAAAACTAAGAGCTTAAAACTCATGTCTCAAGGTCAGTGTTGTGTATGGGGTTCGCTACCCACTTAACACCAGGTGGACCGTGAGCTCGTCCATCCATCTAAGCAATGAAAAAAAAGCCTCTTGCCCCAATTAAAAAAAAATAACCAGTCTTAATATTAAAATAATGCATTGCTGTTCAGATAATTCAAAGTTATGGTGGAATAAAGGAATTCCGATTCATACATGATCTGACGAGTAGTCACCTTTTTGGAAGTCATATAAAAAGCGTTCAAAAGGTATTCCCATCTGATGGTCCCTTATCGACACCAAGGGCTTAGCCACACCGCTGCCTACCTCCGAGGACTTCTTCGAACCTCATTACCAGAGGGACATTCATTACGGGATCCCGTTACAAACTATTGATTCCTTAGAGTATATTTTATGGGCCGTTTTGCTGTTGCAGTAGTAGATTAGGCTCAGAGTGATCATTACTATTTTAGCTTTACGATTTTGCATCTATTTAAAGATGAATTCGCGACATTGTTAATTTTCGGTGATTTTTAGTATATGCTGGTAGTATTTACTGGTGGTAGGACTTCTTGTGAGTCCGCGCGGGTAGGTACCACCACCCTGCCTATTTCTGCCGTGAAGCAGTAATGCGTTTCGGTTTGAAGGGTGGGGCAGAAGTTGTAACTATACTGAGATCTTAGAACTTATATCTCAAGGTGGGTGGCGCATTTACGTTGCAGATGTCCATGTGCTCCATTAACCACTTAACACCAGGTGGGCTGTGAGCTCGTGCACCCATCTAAGCAATAAAAAAAATGTAAAAAAATTTAAATGTATGTATTTTTCTTCAAAATATAAAAGAATATTTTGATTTGTAGCAACGGAAATTAGCCGACCAACTTATGTGATGTCTAATTAACCTTCTATTCATAAAACTCGCAAAAGGCTGTATCGCCAATCCGACTTTTCAGATGCGCTCTCCGTATTTAACAGCAGAACCGAATCAAACTCATTTTGAAATAAGCCGGGTTATAAGAAAACGATTGTAACTCTCTTCGACAGTATTACGTGGTACGACCACATCAAGTTTTGCAAATTTACAGTTGAACTTAAAAAATAAAGCCGTCTCTTTCTAATCCGTGGTTTTATTGGTGTTGAAAAGGGATAGGACAGTTGAGCTTGCGTTTCACTAGCGGGACATCGACCAGCAGCTTTCAGAAAAACTTCGGTGCAGTGTACGAGCTTTGTAACTTGGAATTCATGTGAATGTAAATTATTAAATATTAACTTTTTTGATTTTATTAATTATCCGCCTACTTAAGGCGGGTATAAATAGGTATTAGGTAGGGTATAAATTCGAAGCTATAAAAACGGTGTAGTAAAATGTCAAGTTAATATATTTACAAAATATTATGAAAATAATTCAAATTAGACTTAAAAATTACATTTTTAAAGGATCAAAATTAAGAACTTCAGATTTGAACGCAAAAAATTAAAAATTAACCAGAGTACCACCGGGATTATTATGGAATCCAGAGTCCCAATCGCTAACCGATTCAAAACATCATCCAGTTGTCGCATGTCGTGTCGAAATTATCAAAAAAAAATTTAAAGTTACAATGCTTCGCCACTGAGTTTATTTGCCCCGTGGACATCGACAAAAACCGTGCACGGTCGATATGTGTGCGTGACTGTACGCTCGCTCACTCACACATCGGCGGTCGCATACCTCAGGCGCGCGCGCAGCCAACCAACTCAGTTCTCAGCCTTCTATTGCGTAAAATTCAGGTCACAAAACGCTTGACGCAAGTTTGATTTACTAAAAAAAATCATTTGTGTTCTATAATGTGTGCGAGTGTTTAAGTGTTCATTGTGTATAGTGTGTTTTGATGTTGTGCGATCCCTCTGGAATGGCATCGCATTGAAAATGCCGAGAAATCTCTTTTACAAGTCAGTACGGAAAAAGGAGACCATTTTATAGGTAGGTTACATTTAATTTTGTCATTTAAATTTTTATCGTTGGTATTATGAGTGTATTTTGTGATCTGCTTAAACAGTAAAAGATTCGGACAGTAATAACTTACTCGTACAAAGTAATGGTGTTACCAGTCGCGTGCACGAAAATATCGAAGGAATAAAAATCAAATCACTTATTCAATGCTGATAAGTAAATGTTGATAATTTTAAAATTTGTTAAGGTTTTTTTATATTATTTAATGAAACGTTTTTTTTTTTTTTTGGGAAAGATATGATTCGCATCGATCTAAACTGGTAATACAAAAGCTTCATGTTTAACGACTTCCACATAGCGTATGCTTTTTTTGAATGTGCTTCAAATATAGAATTATGTTAGATTACTGTTTAGTTATATAAAATTATCAACATATACACTTGAATAAAATGTTCGAGAAAACATGTCTTTTACCCATTTAAGACATATAAAAAAAAACAATATTCGAAATTCAGTAGCTCTAAAGGAAAAAAATCGATTTCTATATTTATATGCAAAAACTCGGCAAGTTTTGTTTTTGTTTCAATCGGGAAAGAAAAAGAGAGAATGAGATTTATACTTACAGAATATCTTACGGAATACAAATTATTGATGTTGTTCATCGCATGGGTGACAGTTTTTGTTTAAGCTCGTCAATTTTATCATACTTTAAATTTATATACATAAATGCATGTTGTTTATTTTAATAATCAACTGTCACGTAGATTCTTAGTTTTCGTAAAATACGCATACCTTTCTACAAAACAAAAATAAGTTGATACGCCGAGAAAATTAGAGAAAAAAAAAATATATATTATCGAGTAGTGAAAGGCTATGCGGTTCAAGCGACATTTTTGTAAAATTATAAGAGAGCCATATAAAGTTTAAAATTTGTAAAAAATATATTATAACAAAAAAAACTTCAAGTATTTCAATGGAGTAAACTTAATTGAAGTTCAATTAAAAATATCGAACTGTTGATGCTAATATCCTTGTAATTGAGCGAAATGTCGCTTAAACAAAATCAAAATAACGTTTCAGCCCTCGTTTTTTTTTATTGCCCTTGTAGGCAGTCGAGGAGCATACGGCCCACCTGATGGTGAGTGGTTACCATCGCCCATGGACTTCAGCAGTGCCATGGACAGAGTCAAGCTGCTGCCTACCGTTAAGTACTCACTATAAGCCTCGTTTGAAGAAGGACATGTCATAGCAATATTGACTTAAGCTAACATAAAATATGTCAGTCAGAGTCCTTCATTTTGGGTACCACAGAATCATTCATATAATTGCTTAGTTTTGTGGACGAGTTCACGACCCACCTGGTGTTAAGTGGTTACCGGAGCCAATAGACATCTACAACGTAAATGCCGCCATCCAAGTACGTATTTCATTAGAAAAATTGGTACTTGGTATTGGCCAGCGGGATTAGAACACGGTGCATCTCTAGATATGAATGCACCCAGGGACGTCTTAAACTAGGATGGGGCCCTTGGGTACACAAGTATTTGAGGCCCTTTTGGAAAGTAAAAAAAGCGAATTATAATCTGGTGTCAAAGTGGTTATTAGAGTCCATAGACTTCTTCTTCCTATTCGTACACTCTTGACAGAGTGGTCGTGGTCATGCATCAGTCGGAACCTGCGATACCGATGCTCTCGCGATGCGACGCCATGTGGCACGATGTTTCGCAGAGTGAGAGCAATGTTTTATAGTGAGTCACAGATTTTATGAGGTCGGTCCATCGTGTTGGATGGAGATCGTCCGCGAGATGTTTTGCCCTCGACTTTCCCATGCACCACCAACCGCTCAATGGAGTCCTCATTACGACTGATGTGCCCGAAGAACTTGAGGATTCTCATTTGGACTGTTGACGATAGTCTCTCCTTGATGTTGAGCTCTTTCAGTAGCGAACCGTTCGTACGATGCGCGGTCCACGGAATTTCGAGGAGACGTCCAAAGACTAAAACAACGTTAATACCGCCGCCATTCTTTAGACATTCATTATAAGTCTCAGTCTGACTACAACGGTTATAAACACATGAGAATCGTTTATATACTGTTGATTTTTTTCTGCACTTCGAATGTCAAAGCCATATCCGACCTTATTAGATATTCCCACAATAGTCACAGCGCTAGAGAATGGTCAGTAACACTAAAGGTCAGTTTTCGTTGTACACACTTATTTATTTAAAATGAACGTTGAAATGTCCATTGGAATACATTACGCGACTTAAATGTCTATTCTGATTTAATTTTGCATTATAACAGTAAACTTTGTTATACGACTGAGGCAGCTCTACACAAGCTCTACTGGTAAATATTTGAACTTTAGAAAGCTTTTTAAAAGCTCTCGAGTAAATAACGTGTTTGACCGTTTATAGCGGTTGCGTAATTTTGGCTTTGCTATATCGGTTCTATTGTTCGTTTGCACCGATGTAGTCGTGATCAATAGTTGTAGATAGCTGTAGATCGTGGAATCGCGACCGGCCTGTTGTTGTGTTCTTACAATACCGAAAGGAATTTTCGGCTTTCAACCAAAAAAAACTTTTTTTTTATGATTGAAAGATTACTGGTGGCCCGGAGGCTTTTCCAGTTTCACCAGGACAGGTGGGCGAGCAAAGGCTCAGCCAGGAGGGGTGGGATTTGCTAACAGCTACCCGAGCGCCTCCGAAGGAGACCTAACAGCTCAAGAGCAGCTGCTTCGCGAATGAATCTACTACCGGATCGGAATCGCGACCCGCTGAGAAGATCCGGCGAGAAACTCAGCGAGCTGATTCATGGGTTAGGTTACACGGCGAACTCTTTGTCGAGTTCGACGAGTACGGTTACCGGGGTCTCTAAGCCTGCTCCTAGTGTTAGAGCTGAAGGCGTCTAATGCAAAGGTTATTGGATCTGATGGATCCGTTAGTAGTCGCTATAGTGGCTCTTTCACAATACAAGCAGTGCGATTATGGAATTCTCTCCCTCAACCTATTCGTGCTAGTTCCTCTCTAGAAGTTTTTAAGAGGCAAATGAAGAAACATTTCTTGTCACTTTAGTTGCTTTAATACCTTTTATATTGTACACTATTCCCCTCTTATACATCGTATTTCTCTCTGAAAAGGGTTTTCTGGAAGAAAACTCATGAATGAGTTAAGCTCGCCTTTGTACATAGTATTTAGACATTCTTTAAATCTTGTTTTACTGTATTTTCTTTTTGTATGCAATAAGTATAAATAAAATAAAATAAAAAAACGGCTCTAAAACTCTTAATGTAGTGATCTAGTTTTGGGTTTTACGACCTTTAGGACTTGAGCGAACGGTCTTTCACAAGACTCTCAATCGAACTACCACTAAATAGTTCGTATTGTGGGTGCTTGAGAGGCCACTTATGGCTTACAATAACACTAACTTTTCGTGTCGGTCTAAAGGCAAATTAAGAATTCAGCAGAGAAATTTTATTGGTGGTAGGACCTTTTGTGAGTCCGCGAGGATAGGTACCACCACCCTGCCTATTTCTGCCGTGAAGCAGTAATGCGTTTCGGTTTGAAGGGTAGAGCAGCCGTTGTAATTATACTTGAGACCGTAGAACTTATATCTCAAGGTGGGTGGCGCATTTACGTCATAGATGTCTATGGGCTCCAGTAACCACTTAATAAAGAGACGGCGTCGGTAATCATTCACCATCAGGTGGGTCGTATGCTCGTCTGCCTACAAAGGCAATAAAAAAACAAAATACAAAAGCCTCCACTAATTACCTTTACACAATACCACCACGTAACCTAATCTGCGTTTGTTCTTAATAACGCAGGCTTCATTACATCAAAGTTAATCAATCTTAATCATGACCACGCCGTTTGTTATTTTTATTTTCTCACCCTGCCTATTTCTGCCGTAAAAAAAGATCGATGCCTTTAAAATGTGGGTGTGGCGGAGGATGCTGCGAATACCGTGGACTGCCATGCGAACAAACGAGTCCATTCTAAGGCAGCTAGACATCCGAAAAAGGCTCTCTTCCATCTGCCGGGAACGTGTTATGAGCTTCTTCGGACACATCATGCGGTCTCCCAGACATGAATTAGAGAAGCTCATAATTACGGGTCGAATAGAAAAGGCAAGCGCGCCGTGGGCAGAACACCAGCCAGATGGTCAGATCTAGCAAGAGAAGCACTCGGTGGTTGTCTGTACCATGCAGTCCATGCCACCCATGATCGAGTACATTGGAAGTACGTAGCATGTGGTCGCGATCCTCAGTAGTGAGGGAACGATATAGAAGAATTTCTGCCGTGAAACTGTAATGCGTCCGGTCTAATGGGCGGAACAACTATTACAATTGAATTGAAACTATTACAATTGAAATTTGAAGCTTAGACCACTTCATGTTTCGACATATGACATGCCTTTCTTCAAATGAGGCTTGTGAAGAGTACTTAACGGTAGGCAACTATTTAGCTCTACCTTTAGCATTGCTGACGTCCATGGACGTCGGTAACTACTCACCATTAGGTGGACCGTATGCTCGTCTGCTTACAAAGGCAATAAAAAAAACCTTGATGGTGGTATTTAGTACGTTCTAATGCCTATGATCTCTGATAACCGTTTACCACCGTTTATGCGATTAATAAATAAATCCAGGAGCTAGAAATCGCATGCCCCTAGACCTCTCGTCTCTTTATTAATAACTAGCTTTTGCCCGCGACTTCGTCCGCGTGGAATAGTTTACAAATAATGCTTTATTTTAGAACAAATTTGGTTAGCATAAAAAACGTTATAGTGAGCCAACCTTAATATAGACATATGCTGTCGCGGACCTTTTTTTTAGATCTTTTAAAGGGGCCAATTCTGTCATACATTATTTTAGCGAAACTTTAACCGTTTCTGCAGCGCACGCAGCGGAAGCTCTCAAAAGGGAAAAAAACCCCGATTTTGAAACATCCTTTATTGGTGCTCCGTTTGTATTGGTCTTAGCGTGATGTTATTCCTGGATAAATGGGTTATCTAAAACTGAAAGAAT